TATGGAATTTATCTAAGAAATTTAATAAAAATAATACTTCACATTCTCTTACATATAAGCAATATCATATATGATTTTAACCCAATATGATACTCTAATATAACTCCATCTTTTTATTTATAAGCATTAAAATACATTGTTGATCATGATGACACACACATCTTGATGCTCATGTTTAAGTAGTTAAATTTTCCATTCAAGATGGCCCATTCATTTATACTTGTCTACGCCAGTACCTTGTGTTTGTTCCTCTTGCTTATCCTAGAGATGTTCTAATCAATTCATTTCTCAGCTCTTAGTTATATTTCAATCCTTAACTCATACATTGGGTATAGTCCTTAACCAAGCTTAGCTAGATTCAAAATCCAATCCACATATCAAGCTAACTAGGAGAAATTTTAGATTGATTAAGGGATTCTATTAAATTTGTCAACCAATAGTTGGAAAACATAAATCTTATGATCTCATTCTAATCTATCAAACCATTTGGGTTTGCATTATGGTGAGTTTAAACCCAACTAGTCACTAGATCAGTTATCACCTTTGTTAACTTTTGATGTCCTAAGATGCTAGCCTCATGAGGCCTTTGCTAACCATTAAATTTTGATGATAATAAACATATGAATGGATGTTTTAATATCTTATTCAAGCGGTTTTGGTGCACCCTGAATTTTGACCGATCAGGTTGAGTGCAATAGGCATGACAAGTGTAAATTAGATTTGTTTTGTCTTAGAATCCCCATAGGATGTCTCATATACATATAATTTGAAAAGTAATAAGCTCATAAATAATTAATTTGTGAAAGTCTTATTTATGCATCTTGATTGCTCTCTTAAAAATTCATTTTGGTTCAAAGTTTCTACATGAAGCTCTATGTGCAAATTTAAAACAATAAATTCAATTATTTTTATCGCTCTTTTTCGGGTTATTGAATTTATATTTTTGGATATATTTTATGATTTTCTCATGACAAATTTTCTTAAGAAAATTTTTACCTTTATATAGTAGTATAAATATTTTCTAATGTGTTTATCTTGCATTGTTCTCTAACATTCAAGATAATTGAAATTTTTTTTTTTACTTGGCCAAAATTATCACTTTAATTTAATGCATCAATTTCACTAATTTTATTTAAACTACACTTATAAAATTAAGTAGGATAATGATACATTTTTAATTTAATAATTTCATATGTTAAAACTAAACAAAAATTTCTTTTTAATGTGTTTGAATTATACATACTTTAAAATCCTTAAAATTATTTTAGATGGTTGCATGAGTTGTTTTATTGATTAAAATTTAATTAGCCCTTAAAGTTCATTTATAGTTCAAATGATATATATATAACCTATGATTCATAACTTAAGATGTTTTGCAATTTTAGAAGATTGTTAAAAAGTTGGGTTGTTATAAAGTTATTTATAATTGCAATTATAAAATATTGTTTTTGTAGGAAGAAGGAAATCAAGGTGAATTTGTTGGTTCATAATTCTTAGCTTCTACATATCCAGATTCATCTTAATTAACAAATTGTACAATTATCTATTGTTTATGTAGGTGTTCAGTTATGGACAACTCTTTTATAGGAGGATTTGAATTTGGTAAAAAGCTTCCATTAATTGCCCTTGGTTAGAAGGAGGGGGTTTTAATGTTATTGCTTCTTCTTTTGAAAAGAGGGGCGGAAGAGATCCTTGTTATAAGGTGATCAAAACTTTTGAAAATAACATTATTGTTGTAGGGTTATATGAGGCTAAGACTTTTGGTAGTATGTTTACTTGGCAAAGAGGGAGAGTAATGGAAAGATTGAATAGAATTATGTTGAAGAAAGAATGGATGAACAAATTTTCTGTTTCGGAAGTCTCTCACTTAAATCGTACTGGCTCGGATCTTTCACATCTATTATTAAGGGTAGAGGAATTTACTAAGGTTGGTATTTTTTATTTTAGATTTCTTAATGTTTGGGTTGAACATGAAATTTTTTTGCAAGTTGTGAAAGACATTTAGATGATTGAAAATAGCGCTTCGTGGTTAGACTTATGGTTATTACATAGGAAAATGGCAAAAAAGTTGAAGGAGTGGAATTGGAACGTGTTTAGAGATATAAATAAAAAGGTGGTAAAATGTTGAATTGTTGGTTAATAATCTGGAAGTTGACTTTGAGAAAGGGATTGTGGAGGAGGCTGAAATATTGAATGTGCTATGATTTCTTAATCAAGCAATTCAAGTTCAAGTGGATTTTTAAACAAAAGTCTACATACCTAAGTCATGTGGATGGTAATAGAAATACTAAATTCTTTCATGCTTGCATTGAAAAGTAAATGAAGTCGAATACTATTCTTAAGATAAAGGATGATTCAGGAAATTAGTATTTTTACAAGATGATATTGCACTAAGTGTTGTTAACATTTTAGGGAACTTTTTAAGGGAGGTGGATCTCTCTATTTTTGAAGCTGGTTTGTTTCTTCGTGTGGTCGTTCATATACACCTACTCGTGTTTAGACATTCTTATCCCACAAAAACACTCGACAATTTGTACTCGATTACTTGGCATTGCCCTTGTACGCGTATGCTTGTTGAATTGAATCTCTTAATAAATTGGGTCGATAAAAGGCCTCCTTGGACACATGGCGGTACATAATGCCTATTTTTTATCATACAACACTATTCTAGCAAAAAAAACTTGAAATAGTTTTTTGTGACCAATTTTTGAACACAAGTTTTTTTCAATAGGGTTTGTTTGATGGATGAAAATCCATTAAATTTTCACTAGAAATTAATATTTTAGATTTTTTTTTTGTGAAATTTTTGACCGGAAAACTACTCTTCTTGTAGTGTGTTATAAAAAGATGTAACGAATATCAATATAATTATGTAGAGATTTAAGCATTTGTTGAAGTAGGGATCATTTGGGGCAGCTTATAAGTGTGGGTGGTGTTTTCAAAACGCTGTCTTATCGTTTGGATGATAAGCTTTGCCGGTCTTCGCTCCCACCACACCACAATGGAGACTTTGGCGAAATTAAGAACACAACGAGACCATCACTTTATACTCATAAACATCTGATTTCTCCTTCTCTACTTCTCTATTTTGGAAGTGACATGAAAGAGAGGTAGAATATTCCATGAGTATCATTTCAATGTTCCTTCCCATGCAATTATCATATTAATTACAACTGGTTCACGTAAAAAAAGCATTAAACAACATATATTAGAAAAAGCAATATCTTTAATGACCATATAACTATTTTCAACGCATATGATCACTTGACATCCAATCTGAGAGATGGATATGAAAAGCATGCAGATGTTGAGGAGATAAAGAGAGTATTCTGGGAGTGAATCAAAACAGCGAAAGAGCATCCATATGATCAAACGAAGTCCATCGTCAAACTGATAATTGAGGGTGCGTTTAGGACAGCTTGTGTTTATTCAGATAAATCGAAAATATGGACCGTGGTGTTTGACATGAGTTCTGTTTTTAGTGTAAAAAATAAACTACATTTTTAGATAAGCTGCTCAAACGTGATTTTCAAATAATAGGACGACATTTTCAAAACACCACTGCACAAATAACCTGCCCCAAACGGAGTATGAGGCAGACAAAATCCTCTACTGCTATGATTTTAGTTGATTCTCGAAGGCTTTTAAAATAATAAAATTAATAAGTTTGCCATTTTTTCTTGTACATCTTTATATAAATATTATGGGACACATGGATACAATAATATATAAAATTATTTACATACATGCTAATTCTATACGTATTATCTTCTCTCAACGATATACAAGTGCTTTCAATAAATAGAGAGAGAGAGAGGAGATAGAGAGAGATTGTGCTGCCAGCTGTGACATGTTGGTAGAGCAGTCTCTTTAAAAGTTATAACTCTTCAGGTCACAGATTCGAATCTCTTTCTGGCCAGTTTGCCCATAATGAGGGCGGTCTTCTAATAGTTAAACACATGAGCATGGTTGGGAAGTCACGCGTTTGAATCCTGTTCTGATTAGTTTATCGATAATGAGGGCGGTCTTAGAATAGGTAGACACTTAGTGGGGTCTCGTATCACCATTTTTTTATTTAAATATAACTATATATGTTGGCTGACTGAAATGGTAAAATATAAATAATAATATTGAGGCATTGAGGAGGAAGAAATTGATAAATTCTGTACAAATTCTGTCATCTAGAGAGTTGTAGATAAGGACAAAGGATCTAGTTGCTCTGCTGCTCTATGAAGAAAATTCAAGCTGAAAGCCTGAGCACAAATGGATAAGAACAAATATATCCACAAAAAGGACAAAGCTATCATCTTATCCATAGTTATGAGCGGGGACAGCTTATGTCACTTGGCCATTTTCAATGGAGGGGGTGTGGGGACGTAGC